AAAATTAAAAAATTAGAATATATATATATATATATATATATATATAGATATTCAATGACATCATGTTAAAGAAATGGAATACAGTCGATAGTTTTAACCTTGACGGCGCTCTACTGAGCGTATAGTCCGCACTTCTCGTCATCTGCCAATTTCGGTTATTCTGGTGCATATCCCTGGATGTGTCGCTCGGTCATACTCTTTCTTGTCAATCAGTGGCGTACATCGCGTATGACAACGTTACGCAAAAGAGCTTTCGCAAATCGATCTCGGCGAAAGATCGAGAGGTCAACGTTGCGCGTGTCGAATGCGACACGCAAGCTTGGCATGGAACGACCAGAAACTGCGACCTATAAAATGTTGTCTATAACATTAGCATCTTTTATTTAAAAATGATCTTGAAACGTTCCTTCCGCAGTCTATACTCGCAACCAGTGATTTTTTGTCAATCTCTGTCGAGACTTGAATTATGATTAATATGTTATTATTTTGAGAAATATCTTATTACATGTATTATGACATTATTGAAATGAAAAGAAAGAAAGGAAAAAAGAAAAACAGACGATAAATAACAGCATGGAACGACACACTCGAAAATTGATCATTCGCACGCAATTTGGCTACTAACGCGTCATCATCGAGAGACACGTTCTCTATTGTTTCTCTATTGTTTCTCTATTGTTGTTGTATGCAAGTACGATAAAGATAGTGCGTGTGGTGAAAATAATTACTTTGAAATCATTATTACATAATCGAGAAACATGTAGCTCATATCAGCTTCGATTCTGTGTTGCAGTTTCCTGGTGAGTGCATCCTCACATACATGGAGTTTCAGTTGGATAGCGCAGAGTACTGCCAGGCTCAACACAAATAGAGAGACACGCCCATATTCCCTGACAATTGTTGGATATCGTTAAAGTAACGAGAAAAAGGCTAGAAACATCTTGTGGAGGCAGGAAGAAGGAGGATTATTCAGATAGAGAATTATCATCGGGGAAGCCAGAAAAATCATCAACTAGTCATCACACAAGGCATAGAAGAATTTAATAGAAATTATTAATTTACCTTAGTAGATGCAAGCATCATAGATACTGAGCGCACCTGTCACAGGAGCACTCGGTGCCAAATAGGTAAGCGTATTCCCTTGCAATTCCCTTGCTTCCGCTCCTCTCACCAGCGAAAGTTTTATCTTATCCAAAAACTAAAAATTTGTAATCTGTATAAATTTACCTATCTATAATTGTACCGAATGAATTTCAGGTAATCTTCCGTGAATTATAGTCAAAAAGTCTCAAGTGGGAAGAATAAAGCGCATATCAACACCGCCTAATGTAACGTAGCCCTTACTTTTTCGGCGAAATTCGCACCTGACGACCCTTCCTAAAATCTACATGTAAACCCATGGTTCTGTCCTCTGTAAAAAAATAAGATATTCTATTAGTTAAATGAGAAACAACTTTATAAGACTGACATTTAATGGGCTAAGTTGTCAAATCCAGCCTTTGTCGCTTCGTACAGTGTGGCACACATACGAGATTCTAAGAGACAAGTTGTGAGATCTTTAAGAGTTAAAAACAACAAGACGGAATAGATATATAAACATCTTTGCGGTTAGAAGGAAATGAGCAACATGAGGGTGAAGGATATCAGACCGGCGCCCAGCGAGATTGAATACAAAAACATGAAGTTCCTCATTACTGATCGGCCCAATGATCAAACCATCCATACTTTTATTCAAGTTGGTATACGAATTGAATTGTCTGCGAGACATCGCCAAGTTTTACTTTTTACTTGTATCTCTCCGAGTAGATCTAGTTACATTATAATGTGCTTATGTTTCTTTTATTTAGGAGCTGAAAAAGCACAATGTAAAGGAGGTGGTGAGAGTTTGCGAACCAACGTACAAAGTTGAGGAACTCAAATCAGAAGGGATCAATGTGATAGATTTGGTATTCGATGATGGTACATTTCCACCAAGCGAGGTACACGCAATTTTATTTTTAGACTTTAGACTGTTGTGTGAAAGAGCAAAAAAATTCAAACGAATAAACGTTGCATCTTTTATTACTCCTCATTTTCATAGGTGGTAGATGAATGGTTCGAGTTGCTAAAGTACCGATTCCGAGAATCACCCGACGCATGTGTAGCGGTACATTGTGTCGCGGGTCTTGGTAGAGCACCGGTCTTAGTTGCGATAGCTCTTATTGAGCTCGGGCTCAAATTTGAAGATGCAGTCGCCCTTATCAGAGAGTAAGTTATCTCTCAAAAAATAAAATGTGTCACGATCAAACGAAAATTGTGATGGTAACAATTTTCTTTCTCTGTTACAGGAAAAGACGAGGCGCGATAAACGCAAAGCAGTTAACTTTTCTTGAAAAATATCGTCCCAAGTCTCGACTGAAGCTTAAGAATGGACAAAAAAATTCCTGCTGCGTCCAATAGATCAAAGAATTTTTTGAAAAGAAGAAAAGATGAAAAAAGTCACTAATTCATACTGATTGGTATAAATGTGTAGAATTTTGCGCCTGACAGCAAATGGCATATTGTAGCAAATCTGTTCTGAATGGTCTATCAATGGAAATGCAACGGTGATCAAATTTGAAGCATATTCTGCGTCATTTAATTTTATATTCTGAGGTGTAAGCCAAGATTAACAAGAGGGAAATTCGCTTTAAAATTGTTGCTATTTCCTTTTTTGAATGAGAATGAGCTGTATTATTTTTGATACTTGATGAATATTGACCATAGGAAAACAAGTCTGTGGGAATGGTAATAGTGAGAATTTTTAAAATACGATTGACTATATTATTGCCATTTAGCCTACTTGTTTGTAAATTATGACGCGAGAATTATTTATACATGTACAAACTCGTACATTGTATAATATTCACTTATTTTTTCTCAATGAGATCAAAATACTTTAATGAATAATCGTAGCAAATGAAACGAAATATGATTTATCTAATTAGGAAAATAAAAAATGTAGGAAATTTGTAATTGTAAATGTAATTGCGTAATGAATGTA